TAATATTAGTTTACTTAATATAATTTTTTATAAAATTAAATATAAAAAAATTTTATCATTAAGTTTATATATAATTTTAATATAGTATCTTCTATCTTTAAAAATTTTATATAAAATTAATATATACTATTAATAAATATTTTTTTAAATAGAATGTAATGATCTAGTAAAATGAATAGGTTGTCAATCTTTAAATAACTGGTTTAGAGTTTAAATCCCAATAATAGTAAAAATTTGTAATTCTTTTTATGTTATGATTAATTATCTTCTGTGATTGGTTAAGATTAGATATCAGTAACTTATATTATACTAGTATAAATAAAAGGTTTAGACATTTATACAATATTATATGAAAAAACACAAATCAGTACTAGGTGATATAAATATATGATAAGTCCTTAGACCATTTAAATCACAAAAACCAGATAAGATAATAAAAGCTTATTTGAAAGATTTAAATAAAGAAATAGCCTGAACCTTTGATAGTACTACTGTAAAGGTTAGATCTATAAAATAAAACTAAAGTTTATGAAATTAGGCAAAGAGTCAACTTTTAGAAAAGGGTCAAATAAAACCAACCAAGCTGCTGAGATCCATTCTAGAAAAAAAGGTTACATGTCAGAGAATATGTAAACTAGAGGTATATAGTTACAATTTGCTTTTCTAGACTATCTAATTTGGAAACTTAATAGAACTTAAATTGAATACCAAAGTAGTAGAAATATGTTGTGAAATTAGTATCAAGATTGAGGTGAACTCTACAAAGGCATAACAGTTTAATAATATATCCTGATTGCAAGTATTGATCTTAGTTATAGTAATACTAGGTTAGCTGTAAGAATAGGATACAAACGATACCAGAAGGTTTAGTACAAGGTCAAAAGTTTTTTATATAATTAAACTACTTTAAAGACTTAGTGATCATAATATATTTGTATTAGTATTAACTAAGACATCTTAGTAAGTGTAGGTAAATGAATAGATACAGAAACTAGAATATTTAAATAAGGAACTTACAAGCATATTTCAGATATAGCAGCTAGTGTAGAACCTTCAGATGGACTACTTAAATTAGATAATAACTAAAGTTATATAAATAGCTAGTTGTATACTCTTTTCATAGTTGTCTTCTGTGGTTGTAATACAACTATTAGCTAAATTTACTATTAATAAAATTCTAAGTCACAAGTACTTATCTTAATATTTTTAAAAAAAAATTTTTTTTTAAATTACAAATAAATTTTATTAAATTTTTATAAAATATATATAAACTAATTTATTTAGAGAATGGTTATTTTTACCTTTTATTTTTGCTAATACTATTTTCTTAAATACAAAAAAATACTTTAGAAAAGATATAATTATTAAATAAATTTTATTAGTATTTATTAAAGTTGTTTATTAGGTTTTTTATAATATAGTGCTAGAAGCCTATACCCAACAATCACATGAATTGTTTCAATTTTTGCCTGATGATTATTAGTTATATAAGATTAACAACAGCCAATGATATTATTAATTAATTATCAATTGAGTTGTCAATTGAAATTATACAAAATGATAAAAAAGTAGATATGTTTAATTATAACATGTTCAGAAAAAAATCAATCTTTTGATTGCAACACCTCATATAAGATTAGAAAATATTCTTTATTTCTGAAACATCTAACTTCATATATGAATTTACTAAGCATTTAATGATTTCAGATCCACAAAGTTGACTTATCAAATTTTAAGTAAAATTTTGTTTAACTTACTAAATAAAACTGATCATAGTCTGAAGTTGATCTGTCAAATCATTCAAAGAATTAAAGGCAAGATACATATTAGAAAGTTTTTTTTAGTATGTTTTGCTATAAAAAAATACTGTTAGTTTTTTTCTTGAAATAGTATATAGATCAGATCCATTTTTATACAGCTGCAAGTTAGCACTTTGAGAAAGCCAACAGTATTTATATTAATGATGTAACAGTCTGTTCATTTCCTAGTTGCTTTTACTTCACAGTACAAAAGAAGTAAGCTATCAATTTGGTGATTCATAATTGTATATAGATTGGTTAAAAGTAATTGTCAAAAAAAAAAAGATTAGTAATAGCCATATAAAAATAATTGCTTTATTTTATTCTATTATTTTTTCAATATTCTCTGACAAGCAATGGTATGATTTAAATTTACTAACAGTCTACTTTGCAACTCTACCTTCTAAACCCTTATCATAAGCAACTATATATCTCCATGATTTTCATAAGAACTTATGAATGGTTGACACTGAAACACTACTGAGAACTTCTAAGAGCTGACTCAGTAAATTATTATAATTATAACTACATGATGCTCTGAGTTTCAGTTTTATGAAGCTCCAATACTATTCAATAAAATTATATTCACAATAGAATTTTGGGTAGCATTCAAAAATATGGTCTTTTCTAGCAAATGCTTCTTTCAAGAGTGATTGCTGTTTACAGAAATCCGGTTGTAATAATATAATTTTCTATGTACAGCAATTAAACTCTTCTCAATCATTCTTAATTTTTTTAGAACAACGTTTACATATTAAATTTACTTCTTCACCAGGCCTAAGTTGGCATTTTTCAAGCACTTGTTTGATGCCTTTTGGTTTTCCTCTTAATTTTTTTACTAAATAATTATCTAGGAATCCTATTTCTTGATTATGCTTTTCTTCATACTTATCTATATACCAACCATCATACATTTTAGGTTGTTTTTTACCAGGACCTTTATTTATTCTTTTTGCAACTAATGCATCCTCTGCCATTGCATTATAGTTGGTCAATTGGTCAAAACAAAAAACTTTTACATATCCAGAATGCAATATTTCAAATATAGATATCACCTTTTGTAAAAGCTATATTTACAGAAAATAAATAATTGTATTGAAATTCTTGTTAAAAAAAAAAAAAAAAAAAAAAAAAAAAAAAAAAAAACCTGTTCAAGCATATATTCTGACTTCTAATATCTATCTTCTTGTACAGAATAGATAACAAAAGCTTTCTTGTACTTAACATGTAGATTGGCCTAGAATTGCTCTTCAAATAGCTGTAATAATTCATAGTATAGACAAATAAAAGCTAAAACCATTATGGAGTGTCCTATATGCTTTGAATGCAAAACATCTTCATCCTCTCAGGTTCAAATCCTATATAGGCTATTATTTGCATAAAAGTAACATTCATCATGCATTATTTGCATCAACTCTCTTTTATTATGTTCAAGCTCTGACTCTACTATTACTTTCAGCATATCATTGCAAAGTCTTTCATATATTTTTTGTATATAAACATCCTTTCTAACTATTCTTTTCTATATGCTAGCATATCTGGCTGTTTATGTCTATTATAATACACACTCTTTTTTCTTTTATCATACTTATATCCTAGTATATGCATATATATGTAACATGTTTTCTCAGAGATTATGTCTTTCATATGCCCTATTTTTGGCAATAATGTTTTTTAATATACATTTTTAGAGCCCTAAGTAATTGTAATTCTGGAGATTGTTGCTTCAACTATTCTTGACATCTATTTAAAAAATCTTAATTATCAAACAGACTTATACATTTTTTGTGCTTCTCTTGGCAATAAGAAAAAAGCTCTCTCAATTTTATATAATAATTACTCTAATTTCTAATACACCTTGATATATAGTTACCTTTATTCTATAATGTTTATGCAATCTGGATGCTAGTATTCATTTTGTCTTGACCATTTAATAATAATTAAATATATCAGCTTATGCTTAATAGACATAAGTAATTATATTTTGTTGTATTGCTTTTTAATGATTTTTTTATTTGATACTGTTTATTAATTTCTTCTAAACATATAAGTAGAATTGAAGCAGTATCAGTAGATAATAAAGAAATTTGTAGAGCCTCAAGAGATAATTGTAATAATAATATATTACTTAATGCTTTAGTATCAAGTAATATGCTATTCAATACTTCATTATCAAGTAACATGTTATTTGATACTTTAGTATTGAGTAATATGTCATTTGATGCTTCAGCATTGAGTAACATGTCACTTATTGCTTCAGCATTAAGTAACATATTACTTGATGCTTTAGTATTAAGTAACATTTTACTCAATGTTTCAGTAACAATAGTATATCATTATTTCTATTTTTTTGCTCATTTTTATCTAGCTTTTTCTTTTTATTTGTCTTCAGATTATAGGTCTCAAAATTTTAAAATATTTTCTTTTTGCCTATTGGCTGATTCTCTCATCTTTCTGCACTTTAATAACTTTATGCATTTTGTCTTGAGATGTGAAATGACTCCCCTTTCTAGATAATTTGTTTATTTGTTGTCATCTTTTTGATATATAAGGTATTGTAAATTAATGCAATCTTAATTAATAATAATCAAAACAAATAAAAAAATTAATAAACAAAATAAATATATCACCAAGTATATATATAGTATATATATATGGTATATATAATTTGATATTTTGTCAAAGATCAAGTTTTTTACATAACACTATTAAAATGTTAACAAGATTGATAAAATATTGTTTACAATTAATCATGACAACACTTAGTTATTAATCAATTAGTCTTTGAAGGTTTCTTAAGAGTGCTGCTACAAGAAAATGAGACTACAAGCTTCTAATTATATAATGTACCAAACAAAACCTTAAAGAATTTGATTAGTAACATATAACCAGTATTGTTCTTTAGCCAATTGAAAAATTTCAATTGGTCCAAAAGACAATACTACATATAATGATAATATGTAATTGAAGTTTAATTGCAAAATTGCAAATTATAATTATTAAAAATTTCAAAGGTTTTGTCAAATATATTATATAAGTAGAGGCTCAAAGTTTTATTTTTTCTTGGCAGCACTTATATATAAGCAGTAAATTTTGAAAGAGATAGAATTAATTTATTATATAAAGGTATGGATAATTTTCTTAACTGGTTCAATATCGAATAAATGAATAAAATTTGTAGTATACAAAGCTTTGTTTTATAGTATTACTCAGGTTGATAAAAGTTAAAATTTGCATTTTATACAAAGAACTTTTTGCAAATAGTTTAAAAGAAAGCTCCTTCAAATTGCAATAATTCTCTTTTATAATTTATTTTTGCATCATTTCATATCATTATTTATTGAGAAATATAAGAATTTTGGGAATCAACTTTCATATACTATGATGCTATTCTATATTTTTATCTAATTTATTTAAGTAAATTGCATAATCAAACAGTACTTATATAGATTTATGCTTTGGAATAAATAAATGTAATATAAGTTTAGATGAAATACCTTATTGTAACTTTTTTTAAATCAAAAAAATTTATAATATACACATTAAAAATTAAAAATAACTAAAAAGCAAAGTTTAAACATTAAGAATATTACCACACTCTTCCTGACGATCACTCGTACTGAATTTTTTACAAACGACGAGCAGAAATTTGTTAGAAAGAAAAGGAAAGGCT